GCCACACTTTATTCAATCGTCGTCATCCAATCGTCGTCATCCAAGGGTCGTCATCCAAGGGTCGTCATCCAAGGGTCCTCAATCTAAAACTTCTTAACCCCTCATTCTTTCCTTGGCCTTGAATCCTTTCTTGGGTCTTCAATCCTTTCTTGGGTCTTCAATCCTTTCTTGGGTCTTCAGGTTTTGTTCGGTCTTCAACTCTATTATTAAGTAGGAAGAGCTAATATGGCCGAAGAGCTGATGTTGGCGAAGAACTGCGAAGAATTACCTAGGGTGAAGAGTTAGCCCGGTCGAAGAGTCAATCTTGAGAAGCCAAGTTTAAATTACTTTTTCCCCTGTTTGATGGTGGACTGACGGACGGCTTCCACCAATGAGCCTTTGGTCAGTAACGGCTCACGCAGTCCGTGCTGGTCCAGCAACTGTTGTTTTACCCTTCGCGCTAGGTCTTTGCCGTTGGTGGCTAGTATCTCATCGTTCAATGACCTGTGTGGCCTCGTATACAGATATAAAACACAGAGTCCTGCACATAGTATATAGAAGCTTGCGGCACCTAACATCGCGGAAATGAATCCTTGACGAAGATTCCGACTCAAACCCGCCACCACAACAAACTCTCGACGGACGCCAACTCCCGTTAGAATCAAAAACAGGGCGCTCAGAATGCAGAAGACCAAACCTGTTTTTGCTCGACTCATCTCTTCACCTTTGGAAAAAAATTATGCTCCAACAGGCGGAGACCGCGCCGAAAACCACTGCTCTTTACCACCAGAAACCCAGAGCAAGGGACTGCTATGTAACTACCAAGAGACCAATGTGCATTTACTACAAGCGACTCTATTATCTCCTCACTGAATTCAAGGGAAACGCACGAGAAGGCCATACAGATACAGTCAGAATCTACGCGTCAGGGCGTGCCATCAAGAATGCTCTTATGGTATTACAGGATCTCTACAACAGTCTCGGCCATCTAATCGTCCGTACGAACCTTACTACTGGCACTACTGGCTCGATAGATCTCCAAACTGCGCAGGTAAAAAACGTGTGCACACACGTGTGCATCTCGCAACAAATAACGGCCGCAAGTGGCGGCCGTAAATAATATCCCATCATGCACGACCGTTGCTGTATGCTGTCCCCCGTTCTCCTGTCCATCTGCGTTTGTTGTCAGGCTTTTCCAGTGCCAACCCTGAAAATCGAGGTCCATCATATTTGAATGCGCGAACGTGTTCGTAGGAAAAGGTCATGTCTATTGTACCGCCTTTAAATTTGGAAGCCGTTTGCTTGGAGCTGTCTGACAGGAATGATACATTGAGGGTGTCTTCACTATCCGCGGGTGCTATCGATTCCTCGTCCATTTCATATCCTCTTTCGTTTCATGTGACATCGAACTTCAGTCACACGCCGTCGCCGAAGGTTGCGTCGCCCAAGGTTGCTGAGTACGATGCCACACCCTACCAAGACAGTCGGCTGCATAATTCAGATCAACCCACCACGACCGGCGGGGTGTCTTGCGCTTCGATTGAGCGTCGAGTCAAGGACCGGTCCGTGGATACAGGCCTGGTTACGAGGTTCTTCTCTGTGAGTAGTGCAGGCGGGCAAAATGCGGATCTGTCCATACCAGCCCGTGACGCGTTGGACAACTACTCGAATGCACTCGTCACGCGGCGCAACGCCTACATGACTGCTCGAGACCATCAGCTTTCGGTTTCCAGCGGCACCTTTACGCTACATGGAGGCGAGAGCTTCTCGCTCTCGAGGAACGAGTCCGACAGTATGTCCTTCGAAATGAGCCTGGTGGAGAAACCGTTGATGATATCCGAATCTGACGACATCGATTCTTCGGAGTCATTCCACCACAACTACCAGGACCGCTACGGCCCAGACTGCTCCGACCAATCCGACCAAGACCACCGCTACGACCGAGATGCACGCGATGAAGGCCGCCGTTGCGACCAAGATAAAGATCGGGGCCACAACACGGCCGGTTACGACCGAGACCGGGGTCGGGGTTACGACCAAGACCGGGGTCGGGGTTACGACCAAGACCGGGATCGGGGTTACGACCAAGACCGGGATCGGGGTTACGACCAAGACCGGGGTCGGGGTTACGACCAAGACCGTTCCTACGGCCAAGGCCGCTCCGAACGAGATGGCTCCGACCGGGATGATTCCGACGACGGTTTGGAACAAGACGGCTACCACCCGGGTCGGTACGCGTACCGGGAAGGGAGTTGCAGCAGCAGCAGCGGGGGTTGTGGCGCAGTCGAGGAAGGCAGTGGGTCGGAGCCGGGGTCGGCGGACGCGGAGCAATCCCCGCGGCGTCCGGGTGCGTATTGCACGTACTTGGATTCGTTAATTGAGAACAACGTGTTGACTTCGTTACCGACAACGGAGGCGACGTTGGCGGCGTTGGTGGAAGTGGCGCACGGGTCGACGCCGATAAATGGGCGTTGCCGCCGGAGTTCGCGTGCGCAGATGCAGAGTCCGTTGTTGCGGAGCCCGTTGTTGCGCGAGTGGGCTGCTGGGGGTGACTCTGGCGCGGCGTCTGTGAAAGAGGCACCAGCGGCACGGGCCCGACGGAGGTTGCAGCAGGCGCGAAAGCGGCACCGTGTGAAGCGCGCAAATCGACGCGGACGGGCGCAGCGGCCCTTGTTGGTATCTGCACGGCGACGCCGTTCTTTCGAAAGCCGCTTAAGTCCGCCTAGTCCGCGTTCCGCCGACAGCGACATCGACGATCGGCCCTGGTCCGAGGAGCTGGACGTTTACGCTGCCGGTCAGTGCATTGAGTGTCCCGCGCTCACCAGCTCCTCCTCTTCCGATTGGTGTGGCACGCTCCGCTGGCGCACCAAGCAACACGGCAGCGACCCAGACGGCAGCGACCGAGAAGTTAGCGACCCAGGATTCAGCCACCGAGAAGCTAGCGACCACCGAGGAGTCAGCCACCGAGGAGTCATTGACCAGGGACCAACCGAAGACTGCAGAATCGCCCGGACGCAACGCACCAAAAAGAGCCAACGCTCGCCTGCGAGAAGCGACCTGCACACGGCGGAGAAGATTCGTCGACCTGCCAAAAAATTGTGGAGGAAATTCTTCAATGTCTGTTCTTCCTCCGACAGTGTTCGTCTGCGCAACGGTATCATCGTCAAGACACTCGACTAGCAGCACCACGACCGTGGCGGGGGTGTTGGCAACTGGAGCGCGGAAACCTTTAGGCGGAAACCTTTAGGCGAAAGTCACTGGAGGCACTCGAGCAGCGCCATAGCGTGGTGCTGGTTGGTGAGGCCGAAGGCTGCGGACTTTTCCACGTGCAAGAGTGTCTGCACCAGACGGGGTTCGTCAACTGGGGGATACCTCTCCAAGAGGGACGTCCGGTAGGCGGCGGCGGTTCTTTTGGCCATGTACCGGACCTTGTGTGAAAGGTGTTCTATAGCGTTGCGTGCATGTGTGTTTTGATCGAACCGAGAATGGAACTGGAGATGAAGCTGGAGACTGAGTCAGCCAGGTCTTTGGGGTGGGGGTCGGGGCTGTGGGGGCTTACTGCGTAATCGGAGTAGGAGAGAGAGGATCTCGTCGTTGGTCTTTTGGATGGTTAAAAATGAGTCTTTGAACTTGACGGCTTCGGAAAGTTCGGATAACAGGATCTTCAGTTCGGTGTATGGGGCGGGATAGGCAGCATCTTCGCCGCCGAGTCCGTCGAGGTTGGTTTCGGCCGTGCGGTGGCAAAGTGAACAGAAGATGCGGGCGACGGGCGTGCTAACAGCGGCGCAATGTTGGACGAGGCAGTGGCGGTGGAAGACGTGTGTGCAGGACAGGTACATGGCGCGTTCGTTGCCGAGTACCAGACGCCGACAGAGCAGACACGGCTTAACTGAGCAGTTCATCGAACACACAGTGCACCTTGGCCCGCCATTCTTCTTCCCATGTACGCGTGTCGCGGGCCGTCGAAGGGTGAGCGGCGTCAAGAGTGTGAGCGGTGTCAAGAGTGCGAGCGTCAAGACGTTGCTTCAGTAGTTGTACAAGTTCTCTTTTCGTTTGGTAAGTGTGCTTGAAGTCTATTTGCTCGCCCACGGTGGGGTAGTAGTAGGACAGGACGGGGATGCCGGCAGTGAACATGTCGACAACTTTCATAGGCAGATCCAGGCCGGAGGAAGAGCGGTGGGAGGAAACACCGAGGTCAGCCGCACGCAGCACCGAGTGGTAGTCGGCGTAGTCCACAAACAGCTGCGCCACACTCAAGTACGGGTTGAGAGTCGTGAGCCGTGAGCTCAGCTGTTCAATCGGGCCGCGGCCAGCACCTTTTCCCGTAATCACCAACAGTACCCGGCGACCGGCCTCCGCCGCTTCGCTGGACGCCTCCACCACCCAGTCAATGGACTCGTCCGGCGTGTACGACGTAGAACAAACCACGATGTGCACATTTTCTCTAAACGCGACTGCGGCGGCGGCCAGCCATGTGACGCCCTCCAAGTTATGACATATCCCGCTTGCCTTAGTCGCAGGGTGATTCGTCACATACCGGAGAAGCACCTCTCGAGCCCGCTCGCGACTGACCTTGGCTATATTGTCAGCGACAGGCCTATCGTAACAGCAACTAATGGGCATTGCGAAACCAACACGACCATGCAAGTCTCCGGACATCGCCTCGCTCACGGTTAAGATACTATCACACCACTTCATGCCGCCAATTTCTAAAAACTCCAAGAGACGCACCGCCCACAATGCCCATCCGCTACAAGCCGCAATAGTGTATCCGTAGTTGTGGCAGTCGACCACCAACTTGGAACGGTATAGCAATTTATGAATTAGCAGCAACCACAACACGAAGACGGTCGGCGGATTCTGGACGAGAATCAGCTGCAACGAAAAGACGGTACGTCCCCCCAAATTGTGTGGTACAAAGAAACAGTGTGTGGTTGTCACCTTAAACGAAGAACGTGACATGATTGTCCACAGACTCCACACTCTGGCCAACTGAACCGCTAATACCGAGTAGGTCCGAAACCGTGAGCCGCTGTCCAATTCATGAAGAACAATGTCCTGAGACCTTACCGCAGCTACAAGAAGGAGAGGATCCCACAGGTCGCCATAGCTCAATACATACTTGGCAGGTTTTTCGCAGTAGCATTGTAGCCCGTCAGATGTACGGAATCAAGTCCGAAGTCTGCCTTGAATTTATTCAACATGACGGCTTGGTTGCAAATGCGGGGCGAGCAGCCCAAGTCTCCAAGACAAATTACAATTGCATCCTTCATCTAATTCGGTCCGCTATTACGGCTCAAATTTTGATGGGGTTTAACGCCTGGATGTTGACGGCCTTCCACGCCAGGTTTCTCAGCGATCGGAAATAACTTTCCTCGCTCATTGAGTCCTCGCTCATAC